CACTATTCCTGGGCAAGGACTTTGAATTCCTGGAGATCCCGGACCCATAAAATCATCAAGTTCAGGACTTTGATCCAACGTCACCAGGAAGTTGGGGTTTTTCTGTCCCAAAACCTTTTTCTACTGACAGTGAAAGGGTCTCCAGTTGGAACTGGTGACGAACTGGAAGGAACTGGTGAGGAAAGCTGAGTCCAGATTCTTGAGAAGCCCCCAGAGATGAGTGAGAGGTTTCTGTGGAAGTCCCTGGAACGGAGTGTGGAGATCCACATCACCAACAAAATCCGGAATGTCACCTTGCACAGCCCCAGGTAACACCGGGGAGAGGGGAGAATGTGGGAGGGGACAGCCTTTGATGTGGGTGGAGACCTCCCCTAGTATTCAAAGAGAGGGTTCGAGGTGGGCCCCCTCCTGTTGCTTGGGCCAACCCCATCTGGTTGGACCATCTCCTACCAGTTGAGTTGTCTCCCACTGGTTGAACCATCTCCCAGTGGTTGGACTATCTTCCAGTGCTTGCCCCATGTCCCACTGGTTGACCCACCACTACCCAGTTTCCCCATTGCTCCATTGTTTCCTCACCCATCCTCTTCCTCCCAGGAGCTTCTGCTTCAGCGGCTACAGCTCCATACCCCCCAGTCCCCGCATCCCAACCGGTGTCACTGAGAGCTGCCACTTCACCAACTCCTTCATGAAGGTCCGAGGTTGTGTCGGGCTCCTGGTCTATGAGGCTGACACCTTCACCTTGGCCATCCTTTTCTCCAATCCCTCCAACTACAACCTTTACCCCATGGAGCTGGCCATGGAGATCTCTCTCCTCAAGGTCCACCTGGGTGACCTGGAGGCCACCTACACCCGCATGTACAAGGGACAACCGGCCACCACTGACAAGAACACGGGCTACCACCGCGTCAAACTGGGTGCCTGCCAGGAGCCTGTCACTGTCTCCGCTGGCCACGTGAGGGTGATGGCCACCATGTCCAACTCCACCAAGTCCATCGTCAAAGTCATCATGGAGACCCAAGAGCCTTCGCCTCACCTCAACCTTGGGGGACAGCACCCAAAGGGAAAGACACCCCCTGTCCGTGTCACCCCAGACACCAAGAGGGACCTTCTTCCCCCTCAATAAAGGCTTGAGTGAAACCATTCTTGTGTCCTGATTGTGCTAAAACAGGAAGGCTGGGGGGAATCCCAAAAGGCAGCTGGGGTTCCCGCAAGAAGTTTGGGGGAGCCCAGATATAACAAGGAAGCTTTGGGGGGGTTCTGTAATGGCCGGACATGGGGGGGACATGGGGGGACAGCCATTTGGTGTCCCAGGGGCAGTTCGGGGTCCCAGGGACAATTTGGGGAGCCCAGATAACACAAGGCGGGTTTGCAGTTGTTTTGAAATGGCTGGGGGGGGGTTACCTGCCATCCTAAAGGCAAGTTTTGGAGGGGCCTGGAAGGGCCTGGCAAGGGGGGAGGGCTAGGTTTCCCAAGGGTAGGCTTGGAGGTCATGGGGACAGTTGCCCAGAAGGAGAAAAATGCCAGGGGGGGTGGAAGGTTTTTCTTCAGTCTTCTACCCCTGGGTTTTGACTAGTTTGGACGACACCCTGGGGAGCGGTGAAGAAGAGGAGGGTGGGGTGAAAGTTCCCAGAACACCCATGAGTGGCTCACACTGCTCCTGGGACTTCTTTTGGGTGTGATTCCTGGAGGAATACACCTCTGCCAAAGGAGACCTTCCCCATTAGAATTGGGGTTTGACATTTGGCCAACCAAGTTGGGGGGCACCAAGGTTGGAGTTCTCCAAGGTGTGGGGTCCCCAGGAGCATTTCAGAGGGTCCCAGGGTTGATGTCCTCAAAGCTAGGGGTCTTCAATGATGAGAGTTTTCAATGTTGGGGCTCTTCTAGGTTGGGGTCCCCCCAAGTTGGGGGTCTCAAAGGTTGGTTGTTTCTAAGGCCAGTTGTTCCCAAGGTTTGGGACCCCACAGTCAGGGTTCCCCAAGGTCAGGGGAGTGACTCCTGGAGCTCTGGAGACACTTGTTTGGGCTCAACATGAGGTTCCCCCAAACCTTCCCCTGGGCCTGAGAACCCCCCAAAACCCTCCTTAGGCTCCCTCCCAGCTGTCCCCTCAGGGCCCTCCCAACCCGCCCCCAAAAACCAGCCCTACCCCACCTCAGCCACCCCCAAAACCCATCCAGGGCTTCCTCAAAACTCCCCAGAGCCCCCCCAAACCCCCAGAGCTCCCCCAAAATCCCCTAGGGCCTCCCAAATGCCCCCCAGATTCCCCCAAGCCTATCAAGGCTATTGTCCAGGATGTTCCTCTGGTGTTTGATGATAACGTCTTGACTCAGATGGTGGAGAAACCAACAAGGAGAGGTGTACTACTGGCCCTAGTACTGACAAAGAGGGACTGGTGGAGGACATTAAGGTTGGGGGCAACCTTGGCTGCAGTGACCATCAAAAGATAGAATTCAGGATTGTGGGTAATATGCACAAAACAAGTCGGACTGAAACCTTGGATTTCAGGAGGGCTAACTTCAGCCTTTTCAAGAAACTGCTTGGAGAAATCCCATGGGCTAGGGCTCTGGAAGGCAGGGGGGCCCAGGAGAGCTGGACAATATTCAAATATATCTTTCTCCAAGTTCAGGATCAGTGCATCTCTAAGAGCAAAAAATCAGGAAGGAGACCTGCATGGTTGAACTGGGAGCTTCTGAAAAAAACTCAAGCAGAAGAAGGAATACCTGGATATAAACAAGTCTATAGGCCCAGATGGGATCCAGGGATCCACCTGAAGGACCTGGCAGAAGTGCTCACTGAGCCACTCTCCATTATTTACCAGCAGTCCTAGCAAACTGGGGAGGTCCCAGCTGACTGGCATCTAGCAAATATGACATCCAACCACAAGAAGGGCTGTCAGGATAATCCGGGGAACTCCAGGCCTGTCAGTCTGGCCTCAGTGCCTGGGAAGGTCATGGAACAGATCATCCTGAGTGACATTATATGGTGCGTGAAGGGACACCCAGGCAGTCAGGCCCAGCCAGCACGGGATCATGAGGGGCAGGTCCTGCTTGACAAACCTGATCTCCTTCTATGACAAAGTGACCCGCTTGCTGGATGAAGGAAAGGCTGTGGATGTTGTTTATCTGGACTTCAGCAAAGCCTTTGATACAGTCTCCCACAGGATCCTCCTGGAGAAACTGGCCTCCCACAGCTTGGATGGGACTGCTCTCCTCTGGGTGAGGAGAGCCCAGAGAGTGGTGGTTAATGGAGTTAAATCCAGTCGGTGGCCGGTTACGAGTGGTGTCCCACAGGGCTTGGTATTGGGGCCAGTTCTCTTTAACATCTTTACCAATGATCTGGATGAGGGGATCAAGTGCACCCTCAGTCAGTTCACAGACGACACCAAGGTGTGTGTCAGTGTCGACCTGCTGGAGGGTAGAGAGGCTGTGCAGAGGGATCTGGACAGGCTGGATTAATCGGCTGATGTCTGAGGTTCAATAAGGCCAAGTACCAGGTCCTGCACTTGGGTCACAACAACCCCAGTAGCGCTACAGGCTGGGGGAAGAATGTCTGGAGCTGCCTGGCAGAAAAGGACCTGGGGGTGTTGGTCGACTGTCAGCTGAACATGAGCCAGCAGTGTGCCCAGGTGGCCAAGAAGGCCAACAGCATCCTGGCCTGTATCAGGAACAGTGTGGTGAGTAGGACCCGAGAGGTGATTGTCCCCCTGTACTGGGCACTGGTGAGGCCACACCTTGAGTACTGTGTCCAGTTTTGGGCCCCTCACTATGAGAAAGAAATTGAGGTGCTGGAGCGGGTCCAGAGAGGGGCAACGAAGCTGGTGAGGGGTCTGGAGCACAAGTCTTATGAGGAGAGGCTGAGGAGCTGGAAGTGTTCAGCCTGGAGAAAAGGAGGCTGAGGGGAGACCTTGCTCTCTCCAAATCCCTGAAAGGACAATGTAGCCAGGGTGGGTCGGTCTCTCCTCTCAAGTCACAGGTGATAGGACAAGAAGAAATGGCCTCAAGTTGCTCCAGGGGAGGATGAGATTGGATATTAGGAAAAATTTTGACACTGAAAGGGTTATTAAGCCTTGGAATGGGCTGCCCAGGGAAGTGGTTGAGGCACCATCCCTGGAGGTACTTAAAAGATGGGTTGACATTTCTTAGTGACATGGCTTAGTAATATTTTTTTATCAGAGTTAGGTTGATGGTTGGACTAGATGGTCTTAAAGGTCCCTTACAACCTAGGCAGTTCTGTGATTCTGTGATAGCCCTGTGGGAGCTCAAATCGCATTAGGCTTCCACATTTGGGCTGTTGAATCTAACTCTTGACTCCCATTCCTTAAGTCAAATTAACTAAACCATCTTCTAACATCTCTGATAGCAGATATCCAAAAAGGCTACTTGCATTTAATAGTTCATAATGTGATTGCTAGTCATAGTTTTCTGACTTTGCATAAAATTTGAAATGTGTATTTGTACTCTTCCTGTCAAATCATTCTGATGGGTTTATTATTTAAAAATGAATAGAAAACAAGTGCAACAAAAACTGAAATAAATCCGTGTTTGTTTAGTCCAGGCAGAATGGATTAAAATTGCAACATTTAACAGATCTGGGTTTTTACAAAATTAGTTCCATAGTACAAGACGAATCCCGAAGAAGCACTTCAGAGACTGTTTCCTTCTTGACCATGGTTTTAAAAGCTGATATTCCTTTTTTTCCTTCCTCTCTGCTTTCACGTCCTCTGTGATTCACTACATTATTAATTTATTAATCTCCTCCTGGAGCTGTGGAAGGATGTCACAGAGAGGGTAATGTGTTTTAAGTATATACAGGGCGTACTCCCAACCATTTGCCATCAGAGCCTGGACTGAAGAATGGGTACAGATTCCCAGAAAGCTCAACAGGGAGAGACACAAGAAGGCACTTTTCTTCAACATCAAAGAATGAAAGCGTGTCACGGTCCTGATCCAGGAAAACACCTACCACACTGCAGGGCTTGCAATTGCTCGCATCAGTCCCACCAGTTGTAGTGTATTCTCCCTGAGAAAACCGCAGACTGAGTAAATTCTCCTTTGGGAAAGTATTGCTTGAGCTGCTCCTCAGTGTATTTCTAATTTCCTCACACACCACACCCAGCTCCCACTCTGATTTGTCTCCCACCTCCACTTCCCAGTAATGTTTCTGCTCTGAAAACCCTTTAGTGGCTACTACCATCGGTTTGGGCAGGATCTCCTTCTGGGTGGAGGACATGACTCTGTTTTTATCCTTAATGATGAGGCTGGGATGTTTGCACTTCTCATCCAGAGTGATATTAACTTGAGAAAGAAAAAAAAAAATAAATTAGAAAGCACCAAATTATTTCTGATTTTCAGAAACAGTAATCTCAAAAGAAGTGAATAAAGGAGAGAAATTCTAAAATAAGACAAAAATAAAATAAATAAAAAAACCCCACACCAAAAAATCAACCCAAACAACTAAATACCCTAGGAATATACGGTGTGCTTTTGTCAGACAAAAACTCAATAGCAGAAACAGTACCAGCAGGACATGCCTCTTCTCTGGCTTCACTGTGCCTTTACTAATTGGTCTTTGCTCTGATTGATGGGATCCAAGCTCTCTGGTCAGACCCATCTTGCAGAGGGATTTTTTGAAATAAAACACAAAGCTGAATCTCTCAAAGATAGATAGCATGTAAAAAGGTCCTAATTGGTACAGAAACGATTCACCCCAACTTGTGACACTGAGAACTGTGTAGATAGGAGGTGCATAAGAAAACCTACTTCCCTCTTGCAAGCAATGGGCTTCAAAATCTCCCCAAATCCCGATAGCCTGTGAATTTTTCATGACACAAGGAATAGACTATGAAACGTGCGTGAAAGAACATGAGGCTAATGGCAGGTGAGACTTGACTTACCTGCATTGCTTTGAGCTCTTCTGAAATCTGCAAGAAAAGATATGATTAAAATTAGTGCAGGATGTTAATATACCGTATTTTATTACAGCATGGGGTCAGCAGGGTGTAGATTTGATAAAAATAGTTTCCAGCTTTCAACTCACCCAGTTCATTCTGGACGTTTTCTGAAAAGGACATAAAGTTATGTTATCCTCATGCATGGCAAGGCTCTTCAAGAGGGTATCTGTGAGTATTTCCAACACTACTTAAATAGTAAGTAAAGTACTTAAGGCCTATCTGGCCTAGGATTTGGGAAACAAAGCTGGCTTAGCCTTGAAGGGCTAGAGGTTACCTAAACCCAAGCTACTCGATTGGGCTCTGTGTAGAGTCAGGAGAAAGAATGGAATAACAGAAACTGTTTCTTTGTTGTTTCAGCCACCATCTGAAACTACTCTAGGATAATTTCATCTCTCTATGAGGGAGCCAAGAATGCTGCCTTAGCCTCAAAACCTAGAATGTAGGTAACTAGTTAGGTGAGCTTGCAAAAGCAAGTTCACCCAGAACAGGCTAGACAGGGACGGCTTCAGGTGGGTTTTGAATGTCTCCAGAGAAGGAGACTCCACCACCTCCCTGGGCAGCCTGTTCCAGGGCTCCGGCACCCTCAAAGTAAAGTTTTTTCCTCATGTTTAGACGGAACTTCCTACGCTCCAGTTTGTTCCTGTTACTTCTTGTCCTGTCACCATTTAAAAGAATCTCGCCCCATCCTCTTGAAGCCCACCCTTTAGATATTTATAAGCATTGATAAGATCCCCTCTCAGTCTTCTCCAGGATGAACAGCCCCTGAAGAGCCCCAGGTGTCTCAGCTTTTCCTCATCAGAGAGATGCTTCAGTCCCGATCATCTTCACAGCCCTGTCCCGCATTCTCTTCCGTCCTTGTCTTTCATGACCTGGGGAGCCCAGAACTGGATACAGCACTCTAGACGTGGCCTCACCAGGGCAGAGGAGAGGGGCAGGATGGCCTCGCTCAACCTTCTAGCCACGGTCCTTTTAACACACCCCAGGAGACCGTTGGCCTTCTTGGCCATAAGGGCACATGACTACCTCATGGTCAACTTGTTGTTGACCAGGACTCCCAGGTCCCTCTGGGCAGAGCTGCTTTCCAGCAGGTGAACCCCTATCCTGTACTGGTGCAGGCAGTTATTCCTCCCTAGCAGCAGGGTTGAATACATACAGAACCCATGACCATGCTTCCAGACCCTGTCAGATGACAAACAGGAGTTTGATATGGCCAACATGACAAAACGCATACAATTTTTTATTTTTTTTTACTTCCTTTCAAAAATAGGAAAATCTGTTTTTAACTCAACTACAGAAAAAAATTAAACACCTAAAGGTCTGAAAAGATGTTCCCTTTTTATGGAAACAGGTGTTTAGGAGTCCCCAATTGTGTCAGGTAAACACTGGATTTTAGGGACAGCTAAGTCTAAGTTTGGAAGAGAACTAAGTGCCGCAATAGCTCTCAAACAGCAGCACAGTTCAGTTCCAAAATGGTATTTCTGATCTCAAATAATTTAAATAATTTTTAAGGACAAAAATTAACTTAATATCCTTACCAATTCTGGTCAACATATCTTGATTTTCTACAAAGAAACAAAACTAAAAGTTAGGATGATTAAGTCAGGAAAATTATGGTACACTCAATATGCATTTTGGAATACTAATATGTAGGTTATTCACATATATAGGATTAATCTCTTTATATATATGTTTTTCTATATGTTAATATATATAGGATTAATCTGTCTATCTTTGTAGAAGAATACGCATGCCTTATATAAGTTTTTCTATGGTATTAAATAATGTGTCGCACAAATATTCCTGCACAGAAGGTATGACAGAATAAACAAAGGGGAATATATTGAGAATATATTTGTTTCTTGTACACAAATAAAACCCAGTGTCACCATTTTATTGTTCTTAGCTTCACCTGTAGACAGAGCTTGTCACAGTTGCTTTTTGAGAACTCTTTTATTCTCACTGTTCGATAGGAATTGCACTGGGATTTTTCCCATTATATTCTTTTTGATGCTGTAATCAGATGCTTTAGTCGTTACTTTGTTCTGAGACGCAATAAATAAAATGTTCCACTTAAATATTTTCTAGCAGTGGAAAAAAAAAATATATATATATAAATAGCTAGATATACTCTCCATTTATAGATATATAGACATACATCTATAGAGAAAAAGGGCATGCACAACTTTTCAATTATCTTTTTGGAATAGGGGAGTTAATCTTTGGAAATGTGAAGTTCTGAGAGCATTTTCCAACTCTAGTACTCAAAATAGCATAAAACAAAACTGTTTTCTTAGAACAGTCACCTGCAATGCATCCTTCAGGGTACGGTTAAAAGTAGGTATGGTTATAAAAGTATGGTTAAAATGCAAAGTAGGAAAAAAAAATGCTCATTTACCCTTCTGAAATCTCTCCTCTTCATCCTCTGAAAAAGAAAGCAACAAACCCAGAAATAGCAGAGAATGTTACATTTTTCAAGAAAAAAAAAAACACAAAATGTAAGTGAGAGTTTCAGTTTTAAAGAATGTTTGCATTTAGCGAAATTGTGGCTTAGCATTAAATTCAAAATATGCATTCAAAATAGGTGGGAGATGAATTGTCTTCTGAAGATACTCATCCCATAGAAGAAAACCTAGATTATCAGTTTAGACTAGGTATGTAAATTTCATTGGCTAAAATCAGGTGACATCGAAGATAATAACAGACATCATAATTTAATTCAAAATCCCAGCTTTAGAATAGAATGACATTTCCGGTATGGGTCATCTTTCATGAATTATAATGTTTTAAAATATAAAGGATTATTCTAACCAAAGGACACTCAACACTGACATAACAAAGTCAAAATACGTTCTTACCCAGTTCCTCTTTGATATCATCTATCTCTGCAAAAGATTATGTTTAAATATTAAAACACCATTTCCTTTCCATTTTTTTTTAAAAACAAAACAAACCAAAACAAACAAATAAAAAAAACAATAAAAAAACCCAAACACAAATAGGTTGAATTTTCTATATGTTCCACTGCATTCTGTATAGCAAGAGAAAATGAAACAATCCGAGCTTCATAAAAATAATCGGATGCTCCCCAGCTATAAAGCAGCTGGAGTTATTGTCTTCTTTGTGTTGGTACCTTCCCTTAAAGTGGGAACAAAAGAACAGGTGAAGAAATTCCCTTCATTCAGTAGAATAAAGTACTTCATGTGACTGAAATAAAGGGAAAAGCCCAAACTGATACTTTAACGAGGGTGTGATTGAAGGGCCTTAGCACACCCACACCACCATGGTTCTTAATACTTATGTTGAAACAACCAAACTCTGTCCAGATAATATTAAACACGGCCTTATAAAAGCTGTAATAGCTGTTTCTCCATGGTACCAAAAAGACTACTGCAAGTATGAAAAAAGTTTACTGGATACTGTAAACTGTATGCTCCGGCATACCCAGCTCACTTGCTCCTCACAGGAAAAGCAACCTTCTTGTTCTACTTTTGTACAGTGAAGTCCTAACCCGTCTTTATGAAAAGATCAGAAAATATTTTTTATTTTATTGCCCAGACGCTGGACCTTAATTCTTTCTTTTATCACAGAGGGAAATTCAGCACGAACCACAATCCCAAAGTAAGAACGCATTGACTTACCCAAATTAACTAACAGAACAATTTGGAAACTCAAATATTGAGCAAAAAAAAATACCAGCCCATAGATCAAACTTCTCCATGGAATTAGTATTCTTCACAGTAGGCATCGATTATCTTTAAATGTTCAATATAAAAGCAATGATTTTTTTTAAATTTTATTTTATAAAAGCAAAACAGTCACTAATATTTCCTAAGCTCAGGTTTTATCTGGTTCTGAAGGATCAGAGAGATTCATAGATAGAAATCACTGACAAAAATGTGTTACACTTACCTTTTTGTAATTCCTCTTGTGCATTTTCTGTGAACAGAGAAATATTTTTATGTCCTAAACATAATTCCTCAAGCACCTAACATTCAGTTTTAAAGACTACACAGAAGTGATGAAGCCACAATTTGTATGGACTCATAGAATCATTTAGTTTGGAAAAGACCATTAAGATCGAGTCCAACCATTAACACTGTCAAGTCCACGTCCCTATCCCATGTCCCACAACACCACGTGTACAAATCCTTTAAACTCCTCCATGGATGGTCACTCCACCACTTCCCTGGGCAGCCTGTTCCAATGCTTGATAACCTTTTCTGTGAAGAAATTTTTCCTAATATCCTTCCTAAACCTCCCCCGGCACAACTTGAGGCTGTTTCCTCTTGTCCTATTGCCTGATCTTTAGGAGAAGAGACCAACCTTCCCTCACAACACCTTCTTCTCAGGGAGTTGCAGAGAGCGAGGTCTCCCCTCAGCCTCCTTTTCTCCAGGCTGAACACCCCCAGCTCCCTCAGCTGCTCCTCACAAGACTTGTGCTCCAGACCCCCTCACCAGCTCCATTGTCTTTCTCTGGACCTACTCCAGCCACTCAAGGTCTTTCTTGCAGTGAGGGACCCAAAATTGGATGCAGCATTCAAGGCACACTCTCACCAGTGCCGGGTACAGAGGGATGATCACTGCCCTAGTCTTGCTGGCCACACTATTTCTCATACAAGCCGGGATGCTATTTGCCTATATATAAATATATTTATACATAGATATACATATAGTTGTATGTATGCATTTGAATGCATAACAAGGCTGTGTGTGGTTAACACCTTGGACATATGGTTGAAGAATTTGAGCTTGTCGGAGGTGTTACAGCCAAGCTGATTAACCTGTACAGATCAGGTGGCAGAGGCCATGAGGCAGATGCAAGAGAAGAATGTTGGAAAAGTCATCCCATTTCCTGTAGTACCCAAGAAAGAATCCAAAAAAGAAGAAAACTAAGGAGGTGTGTGCAGATTGTGAATTCATCGTTTAACTCCCATTTAATACACATAAATTATTGGTTTTATTTGAATACTAGGTAACTAGAATTCAAAAGTAAACTGTTTTTTATAGACTTAGTTTAAACAAGTGTGTTATAGGCATTGACCAAAACAAAAATAAAACCCTTGTCTCTCAAGTTAAGCCATTTTGTTGCAACATTAGAAACAAACATACTAGAGATTAAGCATGAAACACCCTGTGACATCCAGCCTTGTTTTCTCTGCTGTTAGAAACTCTCAGCCATTTGGGGACCATCAACTAAAATCACGTTTTACAGAGTCACAGAAGAGTTGAGGTTGAAAGGGGACTTCTTGAGATCCATCTAGTCCACCCACCCTACTCAAGCAGGGTTGGCCCAGGGCTGTGTCCAGTTGGGTTTTGAATGTCTCCAAGGATGGAGACTTCACAACCTCTCCAGGGAAGCCTGTGCCAGTATTCAAATATCTTCACAGCAAAAAGCCTTTTTTTCTGTTCTCTGGTAATTTAGTACATACTCAGGTTTACTTCACAAATCATACTGACTTATCATTTGACAGGTGGCAAAGGTCTGAGAAATGGATGAGAAGTGTTTCAGGGATGCCTGGATGCAAATTTTAATAAAAGTATCCATAGATGTACTCTGTAGTTTGGTTTTGTTGTTTGTTTTTTTTAAATTCTAAAATTTTTTTGTTTATATGCAATTTTCTGATTTCAGTTCCTGGGCAGCAGTCTACTCCCCCTATTATGGCAAAGGGATGTTTTCTTTACTTCCAAGTTACCATCAGTATGAAACAGCCACTAGATATATCATGCTTTTCTTATATAAATTAGAATTCCTTAAAAAAAAAAAGAAAACCTAATCTCGAATATAAAACTGTTCAGAAATTCATGTAAATATTCAAACAATCATGTTTTCATTTTTTAAAATGACTTCCTAGTCTGTGGTATTTTTCAAGCAGAATATGTTGGATTCTCCAGAAGTTTATAAAGGTTACCTTTAGCTCAAGAAACTTTTTTTTTCTAAATTGTTTCTATAGTCATCAGAGAAAAAAAAACTTCCTTGCACAATTGAGAGGAATAAACTGGGTTCATCCTCTCAACTGCATCCTGATTTTGTTCATTGCTGGTGAGAGATGAAAGATGAAAGCTACTAAAAGAACCTAAATAGTTTTGCTTTACCTAGGACTTTAAAAAAAAAAAAAAAAATTCTAGAAAAAAGTGTTTTATAAGCACCTCCAATTTTCAAATGAAACAACATTTTTTATTGCAAATTTTGCATCTACTGAAAGGTGGAGTGGGTCTTTGCAGGGAAAAATTTTTCTGTGGACCCACTGAACAGGCTGCCACTTCTACGCCCTGCTCAATCACATCCCTGCAGTAGCTTTAACCAAAATCCAACATGATATTTGGCGTGTTCTAAGACTCCTTCTAACATGCTTTCACATATGGGCATTAGAAATTCTTCTACTGCTAGAAGGAGACTGGACATGACACCTTGGGGACTGTCAAAAACTCATTTTTCTGGAAATAACAAAGTTTTAGATAGACAGGGTAGGGGCAAGAAAACCTGTGAATGTTTTTGCACAAAAGGTGACACATACCAAAATCTTATTGCCATTTTTTTTTTTTTTCAACATCTGCAGGCAGAAAATCCTAAGTTAAATGGGGTGCAAGAATTCCCTCATTTCTCATCAGGAGCAGGAATCAGCAGTAGGACAGTCTTTCTATGTTGGCAGAACATAAGGTGACTTTCTCCCCAAAGAAACCCTTGCTGGACCCTACAGGTAGATAAGGTCAAAATCCCAATCTTTTGAAGTCTGTCATAAAAAAAAACTTAGGAATACAACTATTTATTCCCATGGTTTCTATCACTGGCCAACATTTCCAGTGTTTCACATTTCTTTCAAGATGTTCATGATGAAATACAGTATTAATATGACTTTTAAATAAGGTAATAATATGACTTACTTTCACGAGTAGTAATCTTACTGTTCTCTGAGAGAGAGAAAAGAGAGAAGCAGAGAGAAGGAAAATGTTACAATATGTCTTGCTTGTCGGTTTTCAAATGACATTTCATATTTCATATTTTATTTTCAAAATATATTGATTTGCATTGACTTGTGTCTTTCATTAAAATACTAAGAAATCATATAGAACTTAATGAATAAAACTGAAAGCAGAAAAAAATGCAGACTTGACATGTTGTCTTGGCAAAAGATTTGTGTTGTAGACCCGTTTTGGTTAGAGAATAGATTATAAATCAATAAAATGACTTACAAATAAATTAAGCCAGTGGGTATATTTGGGTACACGAACATACTTCAGTTACTTGCAAGAATTGCTTATTTCAATAAGGAGGTTAACTTGCAACAATAATTTCGCGACACTAATATGTCAGTTCATATTGGCAAATGTGATTGTACAGGTTTATGCCCCAAAAATATGGGAGTAATTAAGAGATGCTTAAAAGTGAATATGCAAAGAAAGCAAAAATACAGTAAAAATCCATGGTTGGAGAATCACGAAGATGATTGTTCATAACCCTGTACCTCCTCCCCAGATAATTCTGGACATGCTGATGTTGCCTTTCAACTCGATTGTACGAAGCATTTATCACTTTAGCATTGAGTGGAACTTACTTCTGAGTTTATAAATTGCAGCAATAACCAGGAATATGCCCAAGAGCAAGATCACGATGAAAGCCGCCAGCCAAGGGGAGGTGGCAGGAAAGAAGACATCTGCAAATGATTTCAGATCATCGGTTATAAACTTCCATGAATAATAAACTTTATGCTTCGATTACATGGCTAAAGTGAAATAAAACTAACTTGGACCTCAATTTCATTCCTAGACACCTGCCGGAGCAGTTCACTGGGACTTTCACATCCCTCAACTATTTCACAAAGTGCCAGTGATTTGTGTAAACCACTGTGTTAGAACAGAATAGAATATTAGATGTTATAGTAGTAGAAATAGAAAGTGGAAGAAAATGAGAGAAAGAGAGAGAAATATAACAATGCAATCTCTTTGCATTTGACAACAAGCACCACTGGATAACAAGATTTCATTTCCCCCAGATGGTATTACACCCACGAAAGTGCATTTTTACTATTAATATTTTGACAACGTTTAGAAGTTGCCCCTGGAAACTAGTGGTTGTTCAGTGTAAAGACCAAGATATATCACAGAAGAAAACTTCTGTTAAAATTGATTATTCTGTTCCCCTACAAATGTGTGTTCCTGGGGCATGCAGCAGCTCACTGTTTTTCCTCCCATGACACTAGGACACAAGCTCATACTCACTTGCAATGACAACTGAAGATTCTGTCGATGTTTTCAGCAGTTTATCAATTATTTTGCAGGACACAGAGTTTCCAGATTCTGGTTTCAGAACGATGGAGCTGCTGGCATTAGCAGTGGTGGTGTCAGTGGTGAGAGGAGTCCCAGTGAGATTACCTCCCCTACCATCTGTCCACAACACCTGGACTTCAGAAAACGACCTCACAGAGAAACATTTGAGTCTGATACCGTCATCCTCATAACCATCCAAGACAAGCAACGGATCATGGCCATCACCTACAGAAGAGAGAGACAAGCGGGTGAACTGTGGTCAGCACAGTGATGGAAGAGGGAAAAATCTGTGAGAAGTTCTGCATGTATGATGCTCTGTGAGTGCTTTCCTCACTGAAAACGCAGCCCTTACCCCATGGCATTAGCACGTTCTCTCACCGCTGCGATCAGTAGCAGCAGCTGCAAATTTGAGGATGAGGAAAAGGAAGAAAAGCACATAGATGCATTTGAAACACAAGTCATTAAAAGCCATCCCTATGTCAAATGACCGGCGTCCAACACATCATGCAAGTCGAAATTACTACCAACTCCCTTTGTAATGTTGACAACATTAGGTTATCTAGACATGTTCATCTCACCAGACTTTAACCACCTGAAAGATAAGTATCTCATTGGGGCAATCATCTTGTAGAGAAATCATTGAGCAACTGCATTCCCCACAAAGCAGATCATTCCCCGGGAAGATGGGAATCTGGGATAAATCAGTTATGTTATGTTCTGGGAGGGCCTTCACAGCTTCACAGCTGTCTTCACAGCTGCCTTAGATAGATAGCTCTCAAGTGCTCAGTTTGAATGCCTAAATTTGAGCACACTAAATCCCAGAACACGCATTTGTGTTCACATGAAATCCAAAGAAATCATCTAAATCTGGACTTAGTTCAGTGGAAAAGAAAGTCATAGGGGGCATCAGTTCAGAACTACTCATAGTCTCTAAAAGGGATTAAGTACAGAGTGAAATTAATCCTTTACAGAGCAAAGTTACCTGCAGTGAGATGGTGTGCAGATACCAATACCAAGATGAAGATGACTGCTGCCAGTTGTCCCATACCTACATGAAGACAAAAGTCCATGTTTGAATGCAAAATAAATGACATGGTGTCTTGCACAATTGAGTTACATCACACCCAGGCTCACTCTAGCATCTCGTTGCCTGTTTATTTGCACTACCCACATGCTTAGTGCTCCCCAGATGAACCTGGGGAGTGATCCAGTAGCTAGAGAAGTTCTTATGGTCTGTAAGGAGAAGCTCCAACACTAGTTCCTGGTTATGAAGCTCAAATCCTCAGATGGGCAGACGTGTCTCATTAGTAGTACCAGTTACAGGACCTGAGATGGCTCCTTGGAGTTAAAAGGCAAAGACAAGACAAAGTAGAAAAGCCCAGAACATGAATTCTGCCTTAAAAAAAAAACCCAAAACCCCAAAACCACCAACCAAAAAACCCAACACCAACACCAACCCAACGAAAAAAAGGATACATTGGTATTTTGGAAAAAATTTAACCATTTTTTTTTCCCCTCAAATATTTGCAATGAAAGAAAATTTTCTAAATTAACCAGGATTTTAAAGCAGAATTTTCCAAGATCTATATAACTAAAGCCACCCTTTCTCTCTCTTTACATATGTAGATATAAAATTATATATAAATATAACTCAAATACAAATGTTTCACTTTGGCAATAGTAACAATTAATTTTTTAAAAACCACCATTTAAAAAAAGGAAAATCATTTCCTTTGACTTTGACCTAGCAAACACAAGAAGCTCTGCATCACGTGTCCAGGAAGGTCATGGATTTTCTTCTCTCCTCCCCACCACGCACACTCCTCTTTTTTTGTAATAAAAAAATGGAACCTCTCATTAGTTAGGGCCCATCCAAACTTCCTGAAGGATTTACAGAGTTTTCACTGGTCATAATAACGAAGATGCCAAAAAATTCTCAACACATGTTTTCAAAAGGAGGAGAAAATACATCATGATCCAGAGGTGGCTGTTTTAATTCACTCTAATTAAGGGAGACCAGGAAACGAAATTATGTTAGAAGCCTAGCACTTAGCTAGCTAATGATACCTAGTATGAGCCCTACTTCTTTTATCTTTTTGAGACACAATATAGTCCATTCCTATAGCCATTAAAAATGTGAGATTTCAACATATTATTTGTTCTCATAATTTCCTCTTTTTTGAGCCTTCGCACACCGTCTTCAGGTCTTCCTCTGCTGCCAAGATAACTAGAGAAATTGTACCACTTTGATTTTGTATCACAGCTGAGTCTTATAGAGCTCCAAGAACTGAGATGCTTGGGATCCAAGGGAATAGGAAAGGAAAAATAGAATAGAATAAGTACGACATATTGTGAAACACACAGGAAAGAAACCATGAACACAAACAGCAAGGCTTAAAGCACCTGCCAGGTACTCTGTTAGGACTGCCATGCCAACACTGTAGCAAATGCAAAGACTTCAACAAACATCCCAAATGGGGAAAAAAACACTGCACACTGAGCACGGCAACTACAAGCAGGGGCAAAGAAAAGAATGGACAGCAAAAATGAAAGTAATGCATTATATCACAGGAAAAATTTTTTTTTTTTTTAAATGGAGAGGTGGGATCTGTGCCCATTACATGATACCGGTACTCGTTTGGGGCTTTCCAAAGGGTCTGTACATCCACATCTCACTGTCAGAATACAGATTTCTCTCCACCCTCCTCAGCACCAAAGCCAAATCTAACACTACGTGTGGCTTCAGGGTAGACAGATATAAAGGTATTCTCTCTCTCTCCCAAGCAGCACTTCACCATGCAAAAATACACCCACAGCAGAGCTCAGCAAAGATAATTCCCAGATCTTTCAGGACAATAGCCAAACCAACACAACAAAAAGCCTCCCAGCAAACAGAGGGCTAAGAAAACATTCAGAGCTATTCCCTACAGATGCAGCCAAATAAAGCACTGCTTTGGCAGAGAGAAACACAAACCTGGATTTCCAGAAATCCACATGCAGGCGCTTACATCTGTTGGCGATGTTCAGAAGGCTGCTGGTACCTTTGGACCCTCTCAGCCACTTCAATCCTGACCATAAAACTAATCCTTTTATTTCCAAAGGTTAGCTATTAACCTTTGCAACGTAGTACAGTGAGAGTGAAAGAAAATAAAAGTGGGTGGGGCTGGGGATTTATACTATCTGTGGTGAATTAAACTACCATAATTAAAAAGAAGTGTAAAGAGCCCTTAGAAAATATCAGAATGTGGAAGCTTTCTATAATGCTGTGGAAAATGGACCCCAAGATATTGGTAGGGCTGGCCAGTAAATTAATCTAAAACCAGAATAATCACTAGAAAAAAGAATGAGTGCAGTTGACTGTGCTGTAAAAACCATTTTATCATTGCAGTAGTTACCTTATGTTTTGTCATGCCCCAAAGTGCTTGTGCAAGGACAGGTTTAGAAGACCTGGAGATAAGGCAGGGGGGGTGGACTATCTCCCATCTCAAACTACTTTTAATATAAAGACAAAACATGGTGAGGAACGAGGAGAAAAGGGGGCAGGGGAATTGTTTTGCTAGGTGACAATGGTTGCTTGAGGTTGGATGTTGTTGTGGTTTGGGCCGCATTGGACAATGACAAGACAACAGATGCTCTACCCCACCTTCTGCTCCAAGGAGAGGAAGCAGAGAGATGAAGAGATTTACAAGTTTAGAAAAAAAAAACCTAAACTAATGAAATATTCATAACAAAATGACAAAAAAAAAAAAATTAAAAGAAATAATGAAATAGACACAATATATACAAAATGGTATCAGGCTCCCAGGGAGATGTCACCATCAGACACTGGGGAAGTTCCAGACTGGACTCAGTGACGGATGGGAACCGGACTCCGGATCTTGACTCAGGAACCCACAGGTGAGGATCAAAGGCAGGGAAGCAGACAAGGTCCTTACTCCTCAGATGTCAGTCAATGAAGAAAAAGAGCCAACCTGACTCCATTGTCCCCACCCCTCAGCTTTTACACTGAGCACAGCAGATGGGATGGAATACCCTATTGGTCAGTTTGGCTTACCTGATCTGTCCACTCCTTCCCAAAGGTGACACCCCTCCACAGGGTGAACAACCAACTCCACTGCCATAGCAACAAGGATAAGCAAGAGCCTCTCTCACTGAGCAGAAAGTTGGCTCTGCTCCACCTCAAACCAGGACAGATGTGCTGGAGGAGGTCTCTCTGGGGAGAAAAAAAGCCTTCCTACTTGCAGTCTGGTATCTATGGACTCACTTGTCTTGATATTAGAAGATAAAATACATGCCCTCCCCAAACTGACAGCACTGTCTGCGCATAAATCAATGTTAAATATTTTGCATAAAACCTCCCCCTCTGGATATCTTTCGTTCTTCTGAAGCTATTTCTATGAACCAAAAAAAAAATAATAATAAAATAAATTAAAATCCCCCAATGAAAACGTGCACACACTGCAGAGGGGGAGTTTTACCAAGTGAAAAGGCAAGGGGAACGGAAGTCAAACAAAAACTCATGCTGTTGTGTCTGATGAAATACTCCATGAAAAGACAGTGTCATCCCACCAGAGGGAGTCGCGACTTCAGCTGAGCTGCCTTGAGTTTGGTGTGAGCCAAAACGCAAGCCCTACTTCTGCCAGTGCTTCTGCTTTTAATGGTTTTGGAAACCAAGAAGAGCCTCCTTTTCCTTCTACAGGTCACGGGAAGCTTTTGAATGTCTCTGGCAAATGACATGTTTTCCCTAGAGATGTGCAGTTCCCTTTATGAACTGTTCGCTTCCATCCCCCAGTCACTACAACCGCACGCCCCCAATGACAATAACAATAAATATATTTTTCTATAAAGCATGAACTTTGTAGAATGTCTGTTGTTCCATGATAAAATGTGCTTTTAGAATTCTGTTACCTGCTCCAATAAAGCCCTTAGGACCAAAAATTATGACAATAATTTGTGTGCCTCACCATTAATTTATTAATTTTTTTTTAATGCTACAAAACACATACACATGTAAATATGCTGACAAGGGAAGTTGGAAAAATTTGCTGTGTCTGGACATCGACCTGATGGAGCAAATCCAGAGGAGGACCATGAAGATACTCAGAGGGCTAGAGCACCTATCCCCTGAGGACAGGCTGAGAGAGTTGGGTTTGTTCAGCTTGGAGAAGAGAAGGCTCTGGGGAGACCTTATAGCAGCCTTCCAGTACCTAAAGGGGGCTACAGGAGAGATGGGACACTTTATACAAAGGCATGTAGTGATAGGACAAGGGTTAATGGCTTCGAACGGGAAGAGATTTAGATTAGATATCCCAAAGAAATTTTTCACTATGAGTGTGGTGGGACACTGGAACAGGTTGCCCAGAGAGGCTGTAGATGCCCCGTCCCTGGGGGTGTTCAAGACCGGGCTGGATGGGGCTTTGAGCAACCTGGTCTGGTGGGAGGTGTCCCTGCCCAGGGCAGGAGGTCTGGAACTAGGTGATCTCTAAGGCCCCTTCCAACCTAAACCTTTCTATGATCTGTCAAAGTACCTTGTGATGATGTGCAGTGAAGTGAAGGTCCGAAGCTTGAATACCTCCAGGTCTCTCCTCCAGCAAAATTTGGAGTTTGTGTCTGTAGCCACTGATCCTGGGTTACTGCCCTGGCACTTGCAGGCTGTGGTGGACTATCTGCACAAGATTTCTGGAAGAAGAGCATGGATGAGCATCTGAGCAGCTTCTTGCTCTTCAGCTGAGAAAAACTCTTTGGATTCTTTCAAAGTGCAAAACCTTATTGTGGAGGACTGGGTTCATTTTGCATGCAATACAGCCTAATTGAAGATTCCCATTAACATAGAAAATGGTCAGTCAAGACACAGGGACCTCCTAGAAAGTCTCTGCAGCCTTGGGAAAGCTCATCTCATCTGTGACCAGGCTACATATGCATATGCCTGCCAAAAACCTTGCCTTTGGGTGAGGCATCAGTCAAGAGCTGGAGCACCCTGCCCTCCATTTCCATTACCCTACAACTTGTGTACCTGCTGTGACCCCCTCCCATGACTGTTTTTGGGTGTCAGCCCAGTTGTGTCGCTCAGAGAAGAGAGGGATCACAAGTTGATGTAGAAAAAGAAGCAGAGACCTATTAATGGAGTCTTGGAATTAATGAGTTGGTGGACAACAAAAGTACACTGTTGAAGTGATGGATGGTCTGGACACACCCCAGCCAAACATTATCCCCCACTATTTGTCCAGGGCCTTTCTTCAGTGCTGGCTAAATGTTTTACCACACCCCAGTACCCATGTACCTTCCGGGTGTCATCCTCATCATAGATTGAGGATGGGCTGTTGTTTGCAGAGAGATATTTCTAAAGGTTTGGCAAGAGCTTAACGGATGTCTCCTCCCCCCTCCCTTTTCAATCTTGCAGATCTCACAGGTGAGTCCTCACTGTCTCCATCAGAGGAGACATGTGACATGTCATCCATGAGACATTGCATGATGTATACAGCTACAACACAGAGCTTCTCATTGCTGGTCTAGTGTAGGGCATTAGAGATGGAAGTGACACCATGCTGGTCAGGATGGCCCTCCAGGTGCTCAGAGGAAAAAAAAATTACACAGATTTCATAGGTACAGTTATGCCCTTGAACAGCTCCTTACTGGCAGCTTTCTGCTTCATGCCCAATTTAGCTTTGGCCCCTATTTGCTATCATCCATACGCATCCTCAGGAAGAAGCTGACTATGACTCCGCAGTAGCTATTCTTTTGAGGATTAAACTTCTCTGAGCAGAAGGGGAGAGGAGTTTTGTTGTCACTGCTGGAGGTCTATGCAACAGGAGCCCCACAGCCTCGTCCAAAGCAAGGTGCTCTTGGAAAAAGATGTGGCACTGTTGATTTCTCCCAAGATACGCTTCACAAATGAGGAACCCGCCTTGTTTCCACTGCACTTGACAAAGATTTGCTTTGCTTTAGTCCTTAGTTGGAAGGTTTCCAGCAGCTATAATGAATAACGACAGGTCTGTTTTCCAACAGAGAAAGCCTGAGGCACCTCACCAGACTGATGCAGGGAGAACAGGGAGGCATTCACATGCTGTTTACCTTGGCACAAAAACATGTCTTTCTTTGAGCACCTGAAATGACACTCTCTACTCTCGAGAACTTAAGGCAGCAGGAAGATACCTCAAGCATATCAAGAAGAGGAAATGCTGTTTCATCTGAGAGAATGATGAGGTTTTGGGTAAACATATGAGTATTTCTTTAGAGAACGTAAGTGTGGTAGAGATATTTAAAGCAAATTCAGCAGCAGATCCAGTGGGTAAATGAGTTTCAAGTTGAAAGAACAAACTAAGAGATGTTAATGCTTCAGGAACTGGCATTAACAGTGGAAGAGATTAAAAGCTATGTATTTGAAGTGAGAACTAAAGTCATTGAAATAACTTACACTAGAGACTTTTTTCAAAAAGATGAGCAATTTATTCAGTAGATAACTTCCTCAAGTAGAAGAAAAGATCAAATATTAAGATAATACTATTTGCCTCCATAGTAATCTATCGTATTATTTTGTACGTAAGAAGATGACTGCACTTGAACTTAGAAGACAGATGTCAGTCAACAAAACCTGGCTACAAATATCACTGAACAACTGAAAAAGCAAATGAACTTTACAGTCTTAAAAAAACCTCCACCCATAATTATTGATACCAAACTTAAACAAGTCACAAGAGTTGGGCCATTGTTAGCCCTTGGCAAAGTTGTACTGTTGCCTTATCTCAGGCAGCAATTAAACAGCCTCATCAAGATCTAGTCATTAGTAAACAGCACATACCTCTAACAGTCATAGATTTGGTGATCAGTTCCTGCGCCTTTCATCACCCTTACAAACTGATGTTTATAGAGAAAATCTTTTCCTAATTTACCTGAGGGATATAAGCAGTCTACAATGACTGATGCCAAACGAAAACGTGTGTGCATTAGAACATGGTGGTTTTATACGAAGGATCGAGCATTTTGCACTAATCAAACTTCTCTATATGGGCAAAGAATAGATTTGCAAACAAATTAATGTCTACTTAAAGCCTGCTCTAGGTGGACCTGCTCTAGCAAGGGGCTGGACTAGGTTACCTCCAGAGGTCCCTTCCAGCCCCATATCATTCTGTGATAACCCTTTATGTGAATAAATTTTTCCTTATATCCTTCCTAAACCTCCCCTGCGGTATCTTGAGGCCATGTCGCATGTCCTGTTGCATGTTCCTTGGGAGAAGAGACTGAAAAAAAAAAAAAAAAAATTCTAGAAAAAAGTGTTTTATAAGCACCTCCAATTTTCAAATGAAACAACATTTTTTATTGCAAATTTTGCATCTACTGAAAGGTGGAGTGGGTCTTTGCAGGGAAAAATTTTTCTGTGGACCCACTGAACAGGCTGCCACTTCTACGCCCTGCTCAATCACATCCCTGCAGTAGCTTTAACCAAAATCCAACATGATATTTGGCGTGTTCTAAGACTCCTTCTAACATGCTTTCACATATGGGCATTAGAAATTCTTCTACTGCTAGAAGGAGACTGGACATGACACCTTGGGGACTGTCAAAAACTCATTTTTCTGGAAATAACAAAGTTTTAGATAGACAGGGTAGGGGCAAGAAAACCTGTGAATGTTTTTGCACAAAAGGTGACACATACCAAAATCTTATTGCCATTTTTTTTTTTTTTCAACATCTGCAGGCAGAAAATCCTAAGTTAAATGGGGTGCAAGAATTCCCTCATTTCTCATCAGGAGCAGGAATCAGCAGTAGGACAGTCTTTCTATGTTGGCAGAACATAAGGTGACTTTCTCCCCAAAGAAACCCTTGCTGGACCCTACAGGTAGATAAGGTCAAAATCCCAATCTTTTGAAGTCTGTCATAAAAAAAAACTTAGGAATACAACTATTTATTCCCATGGTTTCTATCACTGGCCAACATTTCCAGTGTTTCACATTTCTTTCAAGATGTTCATGATGAAATACAGTATTAATATGACTTTTAAATAAGGTAATAATATGACTTACTTTCACGAGTAGTAATCTTACTGTTCTCTGAGAGAGAGAAAAGAGAGAAGCAGAGAGAAGGAAAATGTTACAATATGTCTTGCTTGTCGGTTTTCAAATGACATTTCATATTTCATATTTTATTTTCAAAATATATTGATTTGCATTGACTTGTGTCTTTCATTAAAATACTAAGAAATCATATAGAACTTAATGAATAAAACTGAAAGCAGAAAAAAATGCAGACTTGACATGTTGTCTTGGCAAAAGATTTGTGTTGTAGACCCGTTTTGGTTAGAGAATAGATTATAAATCAATAAAATGACTTACAAATAAATTAAGCCAGTGGGTATATTTGGGTACACGAACATACTTCAGTTACTTGCAAGAATTGCTTATTTCAATAAGGAGGTTAACTTGCAACAATAATTTCGCGACACTAATATGTCAGTTCATATTGGCAAATGTGATTGTACAGGTTTATGCCCCAAAAATATGGGAGTAATTAAGAGATGCTTAAAAGTGAATATGCAAAGAAAGCAAAAATACAGTAAAAATCCATGGTTGGAGAATCACGAAGATGATTGTTCATAACCCTGTACCTCCTCCCCAGATAATTCTGGACATGCTGATGTTGCCTTTCAACTCGATTGTACGAAGCATTTATCACTTTAGCATTGAGTGGAACTTACTTCTGAGTTTATAAATTGCAGCAATAACCAGGAATATGCCCAAGAGCAAGATCACGATGAAAGCCGCCAGCCAAGGGGAGGTGGCAGGAAAGAAGACATCTGCAAATGATTTCAGATCATCGGTTATAAACTTCCATGAATAATAAACTTTATGCTTCGATTACATGGCTAAAGTGAAATAAAACTAACTTGGACCTCAATTTCATTCCTAGACACCTGCCGGAGCAGTTCACTGGGACTTTCACATCCCTCAACTATTTCACAAAGTGCCAGTGATTTGTGTAAACCACTGTGTTAGAACAGAATAGAATATTAGATGTTATAGTAGTAGAAATAGAAAGTGGAAGAAAATGAGAGAAAGAGAGAGAAATATAACAATGCAATCTCTTTGCATTTGACAACAAGCACCACTGGATAACAAGATTTCATTTCCCCCAGATGGTATTACACCCACGAAAGTGCATTTTTACTATTAATATTTTGACAACGTTTAGAAGTTGCCCCTGGAAACTAGTGGTTGTTCAGTGTAAAGACCAAGATATATCACAGAAGAAAACTTCTGTTAAAATTGATTATTCTGTTCCCCTACAAATGTGTGTTCCTGGGGCATGCAGCAGCTCACTGTTTTTCCTCCCATGACACTAGGACACAAGCTCATACTCACTTGCAATGACAACTGAAGATTCTGTCGATGTTTTCAGCAGTTTATCAATTATTTTGCAGGACACAGAGTTTCCAGATTCTGGTTTCAGAACGATGGAGCTGCTGGCATTAGCAGTGGTGGTGTCAGTGGTGAGAGGAGTCCCAGTGAGATTACCTCCCCTACCATCTGTCCACAACACCTGGACTTCAGAAAACGACCTCACAGAGAAACATTTGAGTCTGATACCGTCATCCTCATAACCATCCAAGACAAGCAACGGATCATGGCCATCACCTACAGAAGAGAGAGACAAGCGGGTGAACTGTGGTCAGCACAGTGATGGAAGAGGGAAAAATCTGTGAGAAGTTCTGCATGTATGATGCTCTGTGAGTGCTTTCCTCACTGAAAACGCAGCCCTTACCCCATGGCATTAGCACGTTCTCTCACCGCTGCGATCAGTAGCAGCAGCTGCAAATTTGAGGATGAGGAAAAGGAAGAAAAGCACATAGATGCATTTGAAACACAAGTCATTAAAAGCCATCCCTATGTCAAATGACCGGCGTCCAACACATCATGCAAGTCGAAATTACTACCAACTCCCTTTGTAATGTTGACAACATTAGGTTATCTAGACATGTTCATCTCACCAGACTTTAACCACCTGAAAGATAAGTATCTCATTGGGGCAATCATCTTGTAGAGAAATCATTGAGCAACTGCATTCCCCACAAAGCAGATCATTCCCCGGGAAGATGGGAATCTGGGATAAATCAGTTATGTTATGTTCTGGGAGGGCCTTCACAGCTTCACAGCTGTCTTCACAGCTGCCTTAGATAGATAGCTCTCAAGTGCTCAGTTTGAATGCCTAAATTTGAGCACACTAAATCCCAGAACACGCATTTGTGTTCACATGAAATCCAAAGAAATCATCTAAATCTGGACTTAGTTCAGTGGAAAAGAAAGTCATAGGGGGCATCAGTTCAGAACTACTCATAGTCTCTAAAAGGGATTAAGTACAGAGTGAAATTAATCCTTTACAGAGCAAAGTTACCTGCAGTGAGATGGTGTGCAGATACCAATACCAAGATGAAGATGACTGCTGCCAGTTGTCCCATACCTACATGAAGACAAAAGTCCATGTTTGAATGCAAAATAAATGACATGGTGTCTTGCACAATTGAGTTACATCACACCCAGGCTCACTCTAGCATCTCGTTGCCTGTTTATTTGCACTACCCACATGCTTAGTGCTCCCCAGATGAACCTGGGGAGTGATCCAGTAGCTAGAGAAGTTCTTATGGTCTGTAAGGAGAAGCTCCAACACTAGTTCCTGGTTATGAAGCTCAAATCCTCAGATGGGCAGACGTGTCTCATTAGTAGTACCAGTTACAGGACCTGAGATGGCTCCTTGGAGTTAAAAGGCAAAGACAAGACAAAGTAGAAAAGCCCAGAACATGAATTCTGCCTTAAAAAAAAAACCCAAAACCCCAAAACCACCAACCAAAAAACCCAACACCAACACCAACCCAACGAAAAAAAGGATACATTGGTATTTTGGAAAAAATTTAACCATTTTTTTTTCCCCTCAAATATTTGCAATGAAAGAAAATTTTCTAAATTAACCAGGATTTTAAAGCAGAATTTTCCAAGATCTATATAACTAAAGCCACCCTTTCTCTCTCTTTACATATGTAGATATAAAATTATATATAAATATAACTCAAATACAAATGTTTCACTTTGGCAATAGTAACAATTAATTTTTTAAAAACCACCATTTAAAAAAAGGAAAATCATTTCCTTTGACTTTGACCTAGCAAACACAAGAAGCTCTGCATCACGTGTCCAGGAAGGTCATGGATTTTCTTCTCTCCTCCCCACCACGCACACTCCTCTTTTTTTGTAATAAAAAAATGGAACCTCTCATTAGTTAGGGCCCATCCAAACTTCCTGAAGGATTTACAGAGTTTTCACTGGTCATAATAACGAAGATGCCAAAAAATTCTCAACACATGTTTTCAAAAGGAGGAGAAAATACATCATGATCCAGAGGTGGCTGTTTTAATTCACTCTAATTAAGGGAGACCAGGAAACGAAATTATGTTAGAAGCCTAGCACTTAGCTAGCTAATGATACCTAGTATGAGCCCTACTTCTTTTATCTTTTTGAGACACAATATAGTCCATTCCTATAGCCATTAAAAATGTGAGATTTCAACATATTATTTGTTCTCATAATTTCCTCTTTTTTGAGCCTTCGCACACCGTCTTCAGGTCTTCCTCTGCTGCCAAGATAACTAGAGAAATTGTACCACTTTGATTTTGTATCACAGCTGAGTCTTATAGAGCTCCAAGAACTGAGATGCTTGGGATCCAAGGGAATAGGAAAGGAAAAATAGAATAGAATAAGTACGACATATTGTGAAACACACAGGAAAGAAACCATGAACACAAACAGCAAGGCTTAAAGCACCTGCCAGGTACTCTGTTAGGACTGCCATGCCAACACTGTAGCAAATGCAAAGACTTCAACAAACATCCCAAATGGGGAAAAAAACACTGCACACTGAGCACGGCAACTACAAGCAGGGGCAAAGAAAAGAATGGACAGCAAAAATGAAAGTAATGCATTATATCACAGGAAAAATTTTTTTTTTTTTTAAATGGAGAGGTGGGATCTGTGCCCATTACATGATACCGGTACTCGTTTGGGGCTTTCCAAAGGGTCTGTACATCCACATCTCACTGTCAGAATACAGATTTCTCTCCACCCTCCTCAGCACCAAAGCCAAATCTAACACTACGTGTGGCTTCAGGGTAGACAGATATAAAGGTATTCTCTCTCTCTCCCAAGCAGCACTTCACCATGCAAAAATACACCCACAGCAGAGCTCAGCAAAGATAATTCCCAGATCTTTCAGGACAATAGCCAAACCAACACAACAAAAAGCCTCCCAGCAAACAGAGGGCTAAGAAAACATTCAGAGCTATTCCCTACAGATGCAGCCAAATAAAGCACTGCTTTGGCAGAGAGAAACACAAACCTGGATTTCCAGAAATCCACATGCAGGCGCTTACATCTGTTGGCGATGTTCAGAAGGCTGCTGGTACCTTTGGACCCTCTCAGCCACTTCAATCCTGACCATAAAACTAATCCTTTTATTTCCAAAGGTTAGCTATTAACCTTTGCAACGTAGTACAGTGAGAGTGAAAGAAAATAAAAGTGGGTGGGGCTGGGGATTTATACTATCTGTGGTGAATTAAACTACCATAATTAAAAAGAAGTGTAAAGAGCCCTTAGAAAATATCAGAATGTGGAAGCTTTCTATAATGCTGTGGAAAATGGACCCCAAGATATTGGTAGGGCTGGCCAGTAAATTAATCTAAAACCAGAATAATCACTAGAAAAAAGAATGAGTGCAGTTGACTGTGCTGTAAAAACCATTTTATCATTGCAGTAGTTACCTTATGTTTTGTCATGCCCCAAAGTGCTTGTGCAAGGACAGGTTTAGAAGACCTGGAGATAAGGCAGGGGGGGTGGACTATCTCCCATCTCAAACTACTTTTAATATAAAGACAAAACATGGTGAGGAACGAGGAGAAAAGGGGGCAGGGGAATTGTTTTGCTAGGTGACAATGGTTGCTTGAGGTTGGATGTTGTTGTGGTTTGGGCCGCATTGGACAATGACAAGACAACAGATGCTCTACCCCACCTTCTGCTCCAAGGAGAGGAAGCAGAGAGATGAAGAGATTTACAAGTTTAGAAAAAAAAAACCTAAACTAATGAAATATTCATAACAAAATGACAAAAAAAAAAAAATTAAAAGAAATAATGAAATAGACACAATATATACAAAATGGTATCAGGCTCCCAGGGAGATGTCACCATCAGACACTGGGGAAGTTCCAGACTGGACTCAGTGACGGATGGGAACCGGACTCCGGATCTTGACTCAGGAACCCACAGGTGAGGATCAAAGGCAGGGAAGCAGACAAGGTCCTTACTCCTCAGATGTCAGTCAATGAAGAAAAAGAGCCAACCTGACTCCATTGTCCCCACCCCTCAGCTTTTACACTGAGCACAGCAGATGGGATGGAATACCCTATTGGTCAGTTTGGCTTACCTGATCTGTCCACTCCTTCCCAAAGGTGACACCCCTCCACAGGGTGAACAACCAACTCCACTGCCATAGCAACAAGGATAAGCAAGAGCCTCTCTCACTGAGCAGAAAGTTGGCTCTGCTCCACCTCAAACCAGGACAGATGTGCTGGAGGAGGTCTCTCTGGGGAGAAAAAAAGCCTTCCTACTTGCAGTCTGGTATCTATGGACTCACTTGTCTTGATATTAGAAGATAAAATACATGCCCTCCCCAAACTGACAGCACTGTCTGCGCATAAATCAATGTTAAATATTTTGCATAAAACCTCCCCCTCTGGATATCTTTCGTTCTTCTGAAGCTATTTCTATGAACCAAAAAAAAAATAATAATAAAATAAATTAAAATCCCCCAATGAAAACGTGCACACACTGCAGAGGGGGAGTTTTACCAAGTGAAAAGGCAAGGGGAACGGAAGTCAAACAAAAACTCATGCTGTTGTGTCTGATGAAATACTCCATGAAAAGACAGTGTCATCCCACCAGAGGGAGTCGCGACTTCAGCTGAGCTGCCTTGAGTTTGGTGTGAGCCAAAACGCAAGCCCTACTTCTGCCAGTGCTTCTGCTTTTAATGGTTTTGGAAACCAAGAAGAGCCTCCTTTTCCTTCTACAGGTCACGGGAAGCTTTTGAATGTCTCTGGCAAATGACATGTTTTCCCTAGAGATGTGCAGTTCCCTTTATGAACTGTTCGCTTCCATCCCCCAGTCACTACAACCGCACGCCCCCAATGACAATAACAATAAATATATTTTTCTATAAAGCATGAACTTTGTAGAATGTCTGTTGTTCCATGATAAAATGTGCTTTTAGAATTCTGTTACCTGCTCCAATAAAGCCCTTAGGACCAAAAATTATGACAATAATTTGTGTGCCTCACCATTAATTTATTAATTTTTTTTTAATGCTACAAAACACATACACATGTAAATATGCTGACAAGGGAAGTTGGAAAAATTTGCTGTGTCTGGACATCGACCTGATGGAGCAAATCCAGAGGAGGACCATGAAGATACTCAGAGGGCTAGAGCACCTATCCCCTGAGGACAGGCTGAGAGAGTTGGGTTTGTTCAGCTTGGAGAAGAGAAGGCTCTGGGGAGACCTTATAGCAGCCTTCCAGTACCTAAAGGGGGCTACAGGAGAGATGGGACACTTTATACAAAGGCATGTAGTGATAGGACAAGGGTTAATGGCTTCGAACGGGAAGAGATTTAGATTAGATATCCCAAAGAAATTTTTCACTATGAGTGTGGTGGGACACTGGAACAGGTTGCCCAGAGAGGCTGTAGATGCCCCGTCCCTGGGGGTGTTCAAGACCGGGCTGGATGGGGCTTTGAGCAACCTGGTCTGGTGGGAGGTGTCCCTGCCCAGGGCAGGAGGTCTGGAACTAGGTGATCTCTAAGGCCCCTTCCAACCTAAACCTTTCTATGATCTGTCAAAGTACCTTGTGATGATGTGCAGTGAAGTGAAGGTCCGAAGCTTGAATACCTCCAGGTCTCTCCTCCAGCAAAATTTGGAGTTTGTGTCTGTAGCCACTGATCCTGGGTTACTGCCCTGGCACTTGCAGGCTGTGGTGGACTATCTGCACAAGATTTCTGGAAGAAGAGCATGGATGAGCATCTGAGCAGCTTCTTGCTCTTCAGCTGAGAAAAACTCTTTGGATTCTTTCAAAGTGCAAAACCTTATTGTGGAGGACTGGGTTCATTTTGCATGCAATACAGCCTAATTGAAGATTCCCATTAACATAGAAAATGGTCAGTCAAGACACAGGGACCTCCTAGAAAGTCTCTGCAGCCTTGGGAAAGCTCATCTCATCTGTGACCAGGCTACATATGCATATGCCTGCCAAAAACCTTGCCTTTGGGTGAGGCATCAGTCAAGAGCTGGAGCACCCTGCCCTCCATTTCCATTACCCTACAACTTGTGTACCTGCTGTGACCCCCTCCCATGACTGTTTTTGGGTGTCAGCCCAGTTGTGTCGCTCAGAGAAGAGAGGGATCACAAGTTGATGTAGAAAAAGAAGCAGAGACCTATTAATGGAGTCTTGGAATTAATGAGTTGGTGGACAACAAAAGTACACTGTTGAAGTGATGGATGGTCTGGACACACCCCAGCCAAACATTATCCCCCACTATTTGTCCAGGGCCTTTCTTCAGTGCTGGCTAAATGTTTTACCACACCCCAGTACCCATGTACCTTCCGGGTGTCATCCTCATCATAGATTGAGGATGGGCTGTTGTTTGCAGAGAGATATTTCTAAAGGTTTGGCAAGAGCTTAACGGATGTCTCCTCCCCCCTCCCTTTTCAATCTTGCAGATCTCACAGGTGAGTCCTCACTGTCTCCATCAGAGGAGACATGTGACATGTCATCCATGAGACATTGCATGATGTATACAGCTACAACACAGAGCTTCTCATTGCTGGTCTAGTGTAGGGCATTAGAGATGGAAGTGACACCATGCTGGTCAGGATGGCCCTCCAGGTGCTCAGAGGAAAAAAAAATTACACAGATTTCATAGGTACAGTTATGCCCTTGAACAGCTCCTTACTGGCAGCTTTCTGCTTCATGCCCAATTTAGCTTTGGCCCCTATTTGCTATCATCCATACGCATCCTCAGGAAGAAGCTGACTATGACTCCGCAGTAGCTATTCTTTTGAGGATTAAACTTCTCTGAGCAGAAGGGGAGAGGAGTTTTGTTGTCACTGCTGGAGGTCTATGCAACAGGAGCCCCACAGCCTCGTCCAAAGCAAGGTGCTCTTGGAAAAAGATGTGGCACTGTTGATTTCTCCCAAGATACGCTTCACAAATGAGGAACCCGCCTTGTTTCCACTGCACTTGACAAAGATTTGCTTTGCTTTAGTCCTTAGTTGGAAGGTTTCCAGCAGCTATAATGAATAACGACAGGTCTGTTTTCCAACAGAGAAAGCCTGAGGCACCTCACCAGACTGATGCAGGGAGAACAGGGAGGCATTCACATGCTGTTTACCTTGGCACAAAAACATGTCTTTCTTTGAGCACCTGAAATGACACTCTCTACTCTCGAGAACTTAAGGCAGCAGGAAGATACCTCAAGCATATCAAGAAGAGGAAATGCTGTTTCATCTGAGAGAATGATGAGGTTTTGGGTAAACATATGAGTATTTCTTTAGAGAACGTAAGTGTGGTAGAGATATTTAAAGCAAATTCAGCAGCAGATCCAGTGGGTAAATGAGTTTCAAGTTGAAAGAACAAACTAAGAGATGTTAATGCTTCAGGAACTGGCATTAACAGTGGAAGAGATTAAAAGCTATGTATTTGAAGTGAGAACTAAAGTCATTGAAATAACTTACACTAGAGACTTTTTTCAAAAAGATGAGCAATTTATTCAGTAGATAACTTCCTCAAGTAGAAGAAAAGATCAAATATTAAGATAATACTATTTGCCTCCATAGTAATCTATCGTATTATTTTGTACGTAAGAAGATGACTGCACTTGAACTTAGAAGACAGATGTCAGTCAACAAAACCTGGCTACAAATATCACTGAACAACTGAAAAAGCAAATGAACTTTACAGTCTTAAAAAAACCTCCACCCATAATTATTGATACCAAACTTAAACAAGTCACAAGAGTTGGGCCATTGTTAGCCCTTGGCAAAGTTGTACTGTTGCCTTATCTCAGGCAGCAATTAAACAGCCTCATCAAGATCTAGTCATTAGTAAACAGCACATACCTCTAACAGTCATAGATTTGGTGATCAGTTCCTGCGCCTTTCATCACCCTTACAAACTGATGTTTATAGAGAAAATCTTTTCCTAATTTACCTGAGGGATATAAGCAGTCTACAATGACTGATGCCAAACGAAAACGTGTGTGCATTAGAACATGGTGGTTTTATACGAAGGATCGAGCATTTTGCACTAATCAAACTTCTCTATATGGGCAAAGAATAGATTTGCAAACAAATTAATGTCTACTTAAAGCCTGCTCTAGGTGGACCTGCTCTAGCAAGGGGCTGGA